TCTGCTGGTGCAGCGGGAGGAGGAGGGCGCCCTCACTCCGCTGCTGAGCTACGGCGAAGTCCACTTCTTATGGATCAAACACAGCAACCTCTACTGTATCCACCCCATGTGGTGTCCCTGGAGGCGGGTGTGTAGGGGTGGCAGCGATGGTAGCGGCTTAGGCCGAGAGGGTGGCTTGAAGACCGGAGTTGCACAGCATATCTGTGTGGCTCAGGCTGGGGGGCAGGGGCAGGGGCAGGTAGAGATGGGGGTGGTGGCAAGGGACAGGGTGGAGGTTCAGGATCTGTACTCCATTTATGCCTCCATAAATGGTACCTTTTCCTGAACCTTGCTGCCCCCAGTGGTGGCCACCACATTGAAGAACGCCAATGCCTCACTGGTGTACTCCTTCCTGTATAAGACAGTAGAGGTAGGTACTGGCCTCCCATTGGCTGACCAGTCTATCCATCTTTCTTCCTTTCTTTCTTTTTCTATAGTCTCGCTGTGTTGCCAGGCTGGAGTACCATGGTGTGGTCTCAGCTCCCTGCAACCTCCACCTCCCAGGTTCAAGCAGTTCTCCCAAGTAGCTGGGATTACAGGCGTCTGCCACCACACCCAGCTAATTTTTGTATTTTTAGTAGAAACAGGTTTCACCATGTTGGTCAGGCTGGTCTCGAACTCCTGACCTCGTGCTCCACCTGCCTCGGCCTCCCAAAGTGCTGGGATTACTGGTGTGAGCCACCGCACCTGGCCTTGTGTGGTAGGTTCCTGGATGCTGGTAGTGACCAGGTCATTTCCTGGTCTTCCCAGCTCTCCCTGGTCCGCCTTTTTTTTTTTTTTTTTATTGTTTTTTTTTTTTTTTTGGTAGAGACAGGATCTTGCTATATTACTCAGGTTGGTCTAGAACTCCTGAATTGAAGCAGTCTTCCTTCCTCAGCCTCCCAAATTGCTGTGATTACAGGCATGAGCCGCCACGCTCAGCCCTTCCCTGGGGCCTTGCCTGAGTCCCTGTGCATCAAAGCCCCATCACGCTGCACCTCATCAGCTGCTTATGAGATCCTCTCTCCCTAAAGGGCAGGAACCAAGAATGTCTCAGAGACAGTACAGCTCAGCTAAGCCCAAGAACTTGCATCCAGTCCCAGCTTCCCTATTTCCTCACTGTGTGACCTGGAGCAAGTGACTTCTCATCTCTGTGCTTTTTTAAAAAAAAAGAGTCTGGAAATTATTTTTTTGTTTTATATTTTTGAGACAGGGTCTCATTCTGTCACCCAGGCTGGAGAACAGTGGCGCAATCTTGGCTCACTGCAACTTCCGCCTCCTGGGTTCAAGCGATTCTCCTGAGTGGCTGGGATTACAGATGCCCGCCACCAGGCCCGGCTAATTTTTCTATTTTTAGTAGAAACAGGGTTTCACCATATTGGTCAGGCTGCTCTCAAAATCCTGACCTCATGATGCCCCCGCCTCAGCCTTCCAAAGTGCTGGGATTACAGGTATGAGCCACCAAACCTGGCCTTGCCCAGCTAATTTTTGTATTTTTAGTAGAGACAGGGTTTCACCATGTTGGCCAGGCTGGTCTCAAACTCCTGACCTCAAGTAATCCATCTGCCTCAGCCTCCGAAAATGCTGGGATTACAGGTGTGAGGCACAGCACCCAGACTCATCTCTGTCCTTATAAACTAGGGGTTATAACGAGCCCTGCCTCCGGGTTCTTATACAAATAAATTAATACCTGTCAAGTGCCTAGAACATTGCTCAGTGTATAGTAAGTGCTCAACAAAGGTTTACTGCTATTGTTAGATTATCACAAATATTAAAATAATCAAATAATAATGTATTGAATATTTATAATATGCCACTAGTTTTTGTTTGTGTGTTTTTTGAGATGGAGTTTTGCTCTTCTTGCCCAGGCTGGAGTGCAATGGTGCAATCTTGGCTCACCGCAACCTCTGCCTCCTGGGTTCAAGTGATGCTCCTGTCTCAGCCTCTTGAATAGCTGGGATTACAGGCATCTACCACCACGCCCGGCTACTTTTGTATTTTTTACTAGAGACGGGGTTTCTCCATGTTGGCCAGGCTGGTGTGGAACTCCCAACCTCAGGTGATCCACCCACCTCGGCCTCCCAAAGTGCTGGGATTACAGATGTGAGCCACTGTGCCCGGCCATTTGTTTGTTTGTTTGTTTGAGACAGGGTCTTGCTCTATAACCCAGACTAGAGGACAGTGACACAATCTCAACGTGCTACAGCCTTGATCTTCCTTTTTAAATTAAATTAAATTTTTTTGAGATAGAGTATCTCTCTGTTGACCAGGCTGGAGTGCAATGGCACAATCTCAACTCACTGCCACCTCTGCCTCCCGGGTTCAAGTGATTCTCGTGCCTCAGCCTCCCAAGTAGCTGGGACTACAGGTCCATGTCACCACGCTAGGCTAATTTTTGTATTTGTATTTTTTTTTTTTTTTTTGAGACGGAGTTTCACTCTTGTTACCCAGGCTGGAGTGCAATGGCGTCATCTCAGCTCACTGCAGCCTCTGCCTCCCAGGTTTAAGCGATTCACCTGCCTCAGTCTCCCAAGTAGCTGGGACCACAGGCACGTGTCACCACATTTGGCTAATTTTTTTGTATTTTTAGTAGAGATGAGGTTTCACTGTGTTAGCCTGGTTGGTCTCAATCTCCTGAGCTCGTGATCTGCCCACCTCAGCCTCCCAAAGTGCTGGGATTACAGGCGTGAGCCACTGCGCCTGGTCTAAATTTTATATTTTTAATGAAGACAGTGTTTCACCATGTTGGCCATACTGGTCTCGAACTTTTGACCTCAGGTGATCTGCCTGCCTCATCCTCTCAAAGTGCTGGGATTGCAGGTGTGAGCCACTGCCCCCGGCTGTCACCTACTCTTCTTTTTTTTTTGAGACAGTCTCAATCTGTCGCCCAGGCTGGAGTGCAGTAGTGCCATCTAGGCCCAGCTCACTGCAACCTCCGTCCCCCAGGTTCAAGCAATTCTTCTGCTTCAGCCTCTGAGTAGCTGAGATTACAGGTGCGCGCCACCGTGCCTGGCTAATTTTTTTGTATTTTTAGTAGAGACAGGGTTTCGCTATGTTGGTCAGGCTGGTCTCGAACTCCTGACCTCAGGTGATCTGCCTACCTCATCCTCTCAAAGTGCTAGGGTTACAGGTGTGAGCCACTGCACCCGCCCATCACCTACTCTTAACTAGAACACGGCCTGGCACTTAGTGAAGACCCTAGACCCATTAGCTATTGTCAGTCATCACACTCCCATTTTACAGAGCGGGAAACTGAGGCACAAGGAGGCAGAGCTTTGCCCAGGTCCCTCAGCTAGGAAGTAGGGTCAGAACCGGGCACTGTGCCCCCACAGTGTGGTAGGTTCCTGGTGGTGACCAGGTCCTTTCCTCACACCCTCAGCCCCTGATCAGCCGCAACTACAAGGGCGATGTGCCCATGAGCAAGATTGAGCACTTCATGCCTCTGCTGGTGCAGCGGGAGGAGGAGGGCGCCCTCACTCCGCTGCTGAGCTACGGCGAAGTCCACTTCTTATGGATCAAACACAGCAACCTCTACTNTTTTGAGACCAAGTCTCACTCTTGTCCCCCAGGCTGGAGTGCAGTGGCACAATCTCGGCTCATTGCAACCTCCACCTCCTGGGTTCAAGTGATTCTCCTGTCTCAGACTCCTGAGTAGCTGGGATTAAAGGCGCGCCACCACACTTGGCTAGTTTTGTATTTTTAGTAGAGACGGGGTTTTACCATGTTGGTTGGGCTGGTCTTGAACTCCTGACCTCAGGTGGGCTGCCCGCCTTGGCCTCCCAAAGTGCTGGGATGACAGGTGTGAGCCACCGTGCCCAGCCTGATTTGCCTTCTCTTTGCAAAATGGGGATACACAGCTATGGACGTAGTAGGCAGAGTCCTGGTCCCCTTGTTCACTGATGCTAACAGAGGGAATGAGACAGTACACTGTGGAGTTAAAGGGTATTAAGGAGGCCAGGTGTGGTGGCTCACGCCTATCATCCCAGCACTTTGGGAGGCTGAGGTGGGCGGATCACGAGGTCAGGAGTTTGAGACCATCCTGGCCAACATGGTGAAACCCCGTCTCTACTAAAAATAAAACAATTAGCCAGGTGTGGTGGTACACACCTGTAATCCCAGCTACTGGGGACGCTGAGGCAGGAGAATCACTTGAACTCGGGAGGTGGAGGTTGCAGTGAGGTGACATCAAGCCACTGCAACCCAGTACCAGCAAGAGCGTCAATTCATCTAAAAAAAAGTTGGGGGGGGCATCAAGGAGATTAAACAGAGGATTGTGTTAACCCATGACTTTAGTGCTGATCTCAAGGGAGGGAGGGCTTTGCCAAAGAAGGGACATTGGAGCTGAGGTTTGAATGACAAGGACCCCACTCTGAGGTGAGCTGGGGAAAAGTGTCGAATGAGTGTAGTTTCTCCACTGTGGTCACACGTAAGTGTTCTCAGGGATCTTAACCTGGTGCTAACTCCAGACTCACAGGGCCAGTGGATAAAATTTAGAATGTTCATGAACTTGGATGTTTCTTTCTTTTCTTTTCTTTTTTGAGACAGTTTCACGCTTGTCGCCCAGGTTGGTGCGATCTAGGCTCAACCTCCGCCTCCCAGGTTCAAGCGATTCTCCTGCCTCAGCTTCCCAAGTAGCTGGGATTACAGGCACCTGCCATCATGCCCATCTTTTTTGTATTTTTACTAGAGACGGATTTCACCATTAGGCTGGTCTCAAACTCCTGAGCTCAAGCCATCCGACTGCCTTGGCCTCTCAAAGTGCTGGGATTACAGTCATGAATTGCCATGCCTGGACTTTTTTCTTTTTGAGACAGGGTCTTATTCCGTTGCCCAGGCTGGAGTGCAGCACATTATCATGGCTCACTGCAGCCTCGATCTCCTGGGCTCAAGCAATCCTCCTGACTGAGCCTCCTGAGTAGCTGGGACTACCGGTGTCCACCATCATGCCAAGCTAACAATTTTTTTTTTTTTTGGTAGAAATAGGGGCTTACTATGTTGCCCAGGCTGGTCTTGAACTCATGACCTCAAGTGATCCTTGTGCCTTGGCCTTCCAAGGTGCTGGAGTTACAGTCATGAGCTACTGTGCCCAGCCCATAGCCACATTTTGTGAGTATCTGTCTCCCCCAACCCCCAGGTATTCTGTGAATACTTCAAGGAGCTGGAGGAGGAGAGCATCCGGGACAACTTTGTCATTGTCTATGAGTTGCTGGATGAGCTCATGGACTTT